AATGTTTTAATCTTGAGATTTGGCAGAATGGATCACAATATAAATTCTTGTGTTCCACATAAAACAGAGGACAATTGCCATACCATTAACATGAAGAAATCTGCGGAACCCAAATATAGTCCTTTGCTTGGATCGATGGATGCAAAATCCAGACAGATCAACATATTATTTATGTATCTTAAAAGCAAAGAGTCTAGGGCCAGGGTAAGTGCTGTGTAAGTCATTTAAGAAGCAGTAAAGTTTGGTGGAAAGTGGAAGAACATTTTTATTGGCAAGATTGTGACAGCAACTATCAGGACATTGGCTAAGGCAATGACAGAAGCCTAAATTTCTGCCAAAGGAAAAAAAAATCCAGAAAAAAAATTAAAGGGATGGGGATTGAGCTCTTAAAGGCAAACATCACTCATCTCTCTGTTGCCTTCCTGGGGCCAGAGTGAAGGACATCACTTCTGGGCGGGAGAAAAAATTGAAGCAGGAGGGAGTGGATCCAATTGTTATGATTCACATAGGAACCAATGATGTAGGTCAGACCGGTAGGGACGAGTTGAGGAGCAAGTTCCAGGAATTGGGAGTTAAGCTAAAGAGTAGAACTTCAAAGGTATTAATATCGGGATTATTACCTGAGCCTGGGGCAAATTGGTACAGGCAAAAAAAATTAAAGATCTGAATACCTGGCTAAAAGAGTGGTGCAGAGGGCAGGGATTTCACTCTATGGGCCACTGGCACCAGTATTGGGAGAGACGGGAGTTATTCCAAAGGAATGGACTCCACCTAAACAGGGCTGGGACAAACGTCCTGGCAACACGAATAAATAGTGAGGTAGACAGGGCTTTAAACTACTAGAAGGTGGGGTGGGGGGTAACATCAATCACATGTAATCCGTCACAATTAAAATTAGGACCGATGAAAGTGGGAGAGTAGATTAACGAGGGAGATGAGCAAAGTGTGTCAAGCAGGGAAAAGAAGCCCAGGGATAGGGTACTGGTGAATAGGACTAATAGCCTGAAGTCAGAATTAAGGGCGCTGTATCTGAATGCGTGAAGCATTCAAAACAAGATAGATGAACTAAATGCACAAATAGAAACAAATGGGTATGATCTGGTAGCCATCATCGAGACACGATTACAGGGAGATCAAGGGTGGGAGCTCGTGGAGTCCTGTTGCTCAGTAGTTAGAGCACTCGCTTTGCAAGCGAGAGACCTGAGTTCAATTCCAGGCAGGGCGAAACCTTGGGCAAGTTTCCTTACTCCACACGCCTAATAATAATCCCTCCAAAACCAAAAACAATAATAAATTGGTCATTTTCAATCTACGACTGTTTGTGGGACATTGCTATGCGCAATTGGCTGCCGCTTTCGCCACAAATATACAGTCAATTCACTTTACAGTGTGTTTTGTGAAGCACTTTGGGACGTCCTCCCGACGTGAAAAGCGCTATATCAAATGCAAGGATTATTACTATTATTAAATATTCCAGGGTACATGGTGTATAGGAAAGATAGGCAATGTGGTAAACGAGGAGGGGGGGTGGCCCTGCTAATAAAGGATGGGATAAAAACAGTAGAGAAGAAAGACTTTAAATCAGAATAGCAGGAAGTAGAGTCAGTATGGGTAGAGGTACATAACAACAAGGGGCAGAAAACTCTAGTGGGAGTCGTTTATAGACCCTGAACAGCAGTCACAGTATCTCCCAAGGTATAAATCAGGAAATTAGCAGAGCATGTAGCCAAGGAAAAACATTAATTGTGGGTGATTTTAATCTGCATATAGATTGGGACAACCAAATTGGGAAAAGTAAGATAGAGGACGAGTTTACAGAATGTATTAGAGATAATTTTCTAGATCAATATGCTGAGGAGCCAACCAGGGAACAGGCCATATTAGACCTTGTTTTGTGCAATGAAGCAGGGCTGATCAGCAAACTGGAACTTAAGGCTCCTCTAGGGCAAAGTGATCATAATATGATGGAATTTAGCATTAAGTTAGCGAGAGAAGTAGTTAAGTCCGAAGCAAAAGTCTTAAATTTAAGTAGAGACAACTTTGCTGATATGAGAGAGTATTTAGCTAAAATAAACTGGGAAATTAGACTTAAGGATTTGACAGTAGACCAGCAATGGCAGACGTTTAAGGAGACGTTTAAGTAGGGGACAAAGACATGGCAGAGTCATTAAACAAATACTTTGCTACTGCTACTGTCTTCACCTGAGAAGACACTGAAAACCTTCCAAGAATAGAGGGGAACCAAGAAAGACAATGTTAGCGAGCAACTTGGGGGAATTAATATTAGTAAAGAAATGGTTTTAGGTAAATTGTCAGGTCTTAAAACTGATAAATCTCCTGGACCTGATGGCCTACATCCTAGGGTTTTAAAAGAGGTGGCTACTGAGATAGTGGATGGCTTGTCTTTGATCTTCCAAAATTCTCTGGATTCCGGAACGGTTCCCATTGATTGGAAGATTGCAAACGTAACACCACTATTTAAGAAGGGTGGAAGAGAAATGGGGAATTATAGACCAGTTAGTCTGACATCAGCGGTAGGGAACATTCCTGAGTCTTTAATTAAATATGTCGTTATGGGATTCCTGGAAGACCATAACAAGATAAGGCAGAGTCAACATGGCTTTACAAAAGGGAAGTTATGCTTAACTAATCTTTTAGAGTTTTTTGAAGATGTATCTAGCAAGTTAGATAGGGAGGAACCAGTAGATGTAGTATATTTAGATTTTAAAAAGGCATTTGACAAAGTGCCACACAAAAGGCTATTGCCAAGGTTAAGGCATATGGGATTAATGGGAACATATTAGCATGGATTGAAGAGTGGCTAATGGGTAGAAAACAGAGAGTAGGGATAAACGGGTCATTTTCGAATTGGCAGGATGTGGAGTGCCACAAGGATCAGTGCTTGGGCCTCAGCTATTTACAATTTACATCAATGATCTAGACGAGGACATTGAATGTAACGTATCTAAATTTGCGGATGACACTAAACTAGGTGGGAGAGTAAGCTCTGAGGATGATGCAAAAAGATTGCAACGGGATATAGATAGGCTTGGGGAGTGGGCGAGTAGGTGGCAGATGGAATTTAATGTGGGGAAGTGTGAAGTTATTCCCCTCGGTAGAAAAAATAGAAAAACAGATTATTTTCTAGAGGGGGAGAGATTAGATAGTGTTAGTGCTCAGAGGGATTTGGGTGTCCTTGTACACCAGTCTCAAAAAGTTAGTTTTCAAGTGCAGCAAGCAACTAAGAAGGTGAACGGCATGTTAGCGTTCATTGCAAAAGGTTTAGAGTGCAAGAGTAGGGAAGTCTTGCTGCAACTGTATAGGGCCTTGGTGAGACCGCACCTAGAGTATTGTGTGCAGTTTTGGTCTCCTTATTTAAAAAAGGACATACTTGCCCTAGAGGGGGTGCAGCGTAGATTCACTCGGTTAGTTCCTGGGATGAGGGGACTGACCTATGAGGATAGGCTGAATAAACTAGGGCTATATTCTCTACAGTACAGAAGAATTAGGGGAGATCTTATTGAAACATATACGATTCTTAAAGGGCTGGATAAAGTAGACACTGAGGGTCTGTTTCCCCTGGTGGGAGAATCTATAACCAGGGGTCACAGTCTCAAAATAAAGGGTCAGCATTTTAGAACAGAGTTGAGGAAACATCTCTTCACTCAGAGGGTAGTGAATGTATGGAATTCACTACCACAGAAGGCTGTAGATGCTCAGTCCTTGAACATCTTCAAGGCTGAGACTGATAGATTTTTAAAAAACAGAGGCATTGGGGGATATGGGGATAAGGCAGGTAATTAGAGTTAGGTCTGAAGATCAGCCATGATCTTATCGAATGGCGGGGCAGACTCGAGGGGCCAAATGGCCTACTCCTGCACCTAATTCTTATGTTCTCAGTGAGCCTGTTGATCATAGTTCTGTTTTTTTAGTTTATTACTGGGTGAGGCCCAGATTCATCCCAATTGTCTTCCATGTTGAACATATAATAAATGGAAAAGAGGGTAGTTCAGTGTACTCTTTGTTCAGAAATCTGGAGAGTGGCAAGATGATATCTTATATCTTAATCCAATATGTCTGCACACCTGCTTGTGTTTTATTTCATATTGTGTACACGGTTGTGAGAGGTCTATTTAAGTTGTAATCAACCACTTTACTGAGCGGAGGGAAGCACCAGGTTGAAATAGTGTTAGCAGGTCACAGAAGTAGAAGGGGCAAGGCCACGGAGGGCCTTGAAGACGAGGACAAGGATTTTGAATGGTATCCTCTGGGGAATGAGGAGCTAGTGGAGCCGGGCGAGGGTGGGAGTAATAGGATCACAGAAGCAAGTGGGAGCAATATTTGGAAAATGGATTGATTGTTCTTTCATTCAAACTGGACATGGGGGGAGGGAGGGGAATAGTATGCAATGAGAGTCACCATGATTAATAATAATAACCTTGCATTTGAAGACGCCTTATCACGTCTTCTATTTATGGTGTGAGCTTGCCTCTGGATTCACAAATGCTGCAAATCCAGCCAGCGTGACACCAATCCCAACCAAGTGATGGAGTACATGGAGATCAGGTGTGACCAGCGTTAACTTCAGCTGCCATTCCTCCTCTCCTCCATTCTGTAATATTATAACCTGTCCAAACCCACTGAGGCCCCACACATGAAGAATGGCCATTTGGGCAGGGTAGTCTGGCAAAGAGTTGTCTGGCGTCTGTAGAGTTCTCCCCAGCACGAGGCAGCAATGCCTTCAGGACACGAAGGCAGATAATTGGAGATGGGGTGGGGGGGATAAAAACAAATTCCCCAAAAAACTCTTTTCAACTCTTGTCACTGATATTCACTAAATCAGAGCTGAGCAAAAGGCTGAACTTTGACATTTCACTTTTATGAAACAGAAATAGAGGGGTCTTTATATCATTGGGCACTTTTTATTTTCAGCTGATTAAACGGCCTGCGAAGCTCCCACTTGAACCTCTCTCTCTCTCTCTCTCTCTCTCTCTTGGCAGTACATAAAGACGTTGAAGCACTTTGGAGAGGACGAAGCCAAGATGCAGCCAGATGAGTTCTTTGGCATCTTCGACACCTTCCTGCAGTCGTTCAACGAAGCGAAGCAAGACCTGGAGAACATGCGGAGGAAGAAGGAGGAAGAGGAGCGCAGAGCTCGCATGGAGGCTATGGTGAGAGGGTGCTGTTAGGAGGCTCTGGGACAGATCCACAGCTTCATGGGTTAAAAAAAGATCCATGGGTTAAAAAAAGCACCTTGCTGTGTGCAATTGCATGCCGCGTTTCACCCACAAAATACAATTTTACAAAATACTTTACAATATATTCTGTGAAGCATTTTGAGATGTCCCAATGACTTTTTAAAAACTGCGGCAGCATCCAAATGAAAGACAGAATTTTAGAATTCCTCACAATTTTAAGATTTAAGACCAAAGTTTTACAGGCTTATTACTAAGTGTACTTTCGTCCACAAAATGCACCCAGTCACAGCACTTTACCATGAAGAGCTTTGAAACGTCTCGACGACGTGGCAGCACACTATATCATGATCAACCATGATCTTATTAACTGGTGGAGCAGGCTCGAGGAGGCGAATGGCTCCTATTTCTTATGTTCTTATATCAAATGGAAGGATCATTGTAATGATTATTACTCGTGGGCTCCTGATAATTCAAAAAAGTAATTGCAGTATTTTCTCAATCCACATTATAATCAGAACCATCAGAGTAACTCACTGCTTTCAAATGTCCAGCCGTCTCCAGCTCTGTATATAAATAGAGTTTATAATAACGACACTTCTTGTGACTCCCACCAAATGAGCTAACTCCCCATCCCTTTTCAGCTTTTCACGAAAGGATTTGTTTTGTACTCCATGAGAGTCCAATTACGTAAAAATCCTCTGTTATCCTGTCAGCACAAATGTTTACCATGTGTCTTTGGCAGAAACCCAAAGGCACATGGTAAAAATGTCACATGCAGAATTTATTCAATTTAACTATTGACATTTCCCTGGGCAGCAGTCCAAGGGAACAGAAGTGGAAGCTGTTTTTTTACACAATCCTGTAACATGTTGCCAGGTGATATTTGGACCATGTAACAATGAGAACACACTGATCTATGGAATACAATGGATTAGAGAGTCACACTTCCTGCATCCGCCACACTAATAATTCTTGCATTTGATATAGCCCCTTATCACGTTTTCGAAACATCTCAAAGCACTTCGCAGGATATGCTGTAAAGTGAATTGACTCCATATTTTGTGGGTGAAACGCAGCAGCACACCGCAGTGTCCCACAAATAGTTGTGGATTGAGTCACCAAATTATTATTTTTTTTAAAAATTAAAAAAAACATTTTTTAAAAAAAATTTGAAGGGATTATTAACCCCTGGAAAAGCGATCCGTCAATCGACTAACAACTGGGTTCCTACTTACTGCTAGGTAAACAGGGGTGTGTGGAGTAAAGAAGCTTGCCCAACATTCCGTTCTGCCCGGGGATCGAACCCAGGTCCTCTTGCTTGCTAGGCAAGTGCTCTAACCTCTGAGCTACAGGACTCCACTTCCTTGTAACTCCCACTAAATGCGCTAACTTCCTGACAAATCCCCTACAGGGAAAGAGGGGAGTGTGACTGAGTGACCGGTGGGATGGGGAATCGATGGCTTGAGGGGTGGGGAACAAACGACATGGAAGAGAGGGAATGGGCTTACTTTCTCCTGGAGGCAGGTCGACAAGAGGTGTTGAGAGGTGAGAGACGGGATGGGGTTGATCAGTGTGAGGCGTTGAGGGGTGGGAGAATGGTGACTATAAGGCTGGGTTTGAGTAGGATGTAAGGTGGAAAATAGACATCAGCATTGATTGCAGTAACACTAGGAATGAATAAAAGTTGCTCAGTCACATCACCCTGTGTACAAACCCTCTTTTTTGACAATATTCTCTTGTTTCACCTTTTGTGTCTCTAAAGGGCTGACTCTTCTGCATGAAGAACCAACAGCTTTATGCTATTTCATCATGCAGAGAGTTTGAGAATCTGAAATGCAATGCCCCAGAGTGCCAGCTGTAGAGGCTATTTAAAAAAGGGAGCTAGATAATGTCCTACCCAGCAATCCCCCAAATAAAAATTAATCATTCACTTCATGGCTGTGGAATATTGCTTTCACCTTATGAAACACACACTTTAAAGCATAGCCTGTGAAGTGCTTTGGGATATCCTTTCTAAGAAAAAGATGCTGTATACCAAATGTATGATGTTGTTTATTATTATATTTGGTAAGTGTATTATGGGCCAAATGTTCATAACCATAATAAAAATCCTTGCATTTGATATAGCGCCTTATCACATCTTCGAGACGTCTCAAAAGCCCTACTGTAAAGTGTAGGGCTTTGAGACGTCTACTGTAAAGACTGCATACTTTGTGGGCAAAATGTAATGTGTAAGTAAGGGTATTCTGTGGAAATGGTCATAAAAGTTCTGTCGTGACCTAATTAACCGGAGGTGCTTTTCCAGTTTCTTTTTGAATAAGTTGATTGGTCCAAATTGCTCTAACCTCTCCCCTGAATCTTCTGCTAGGAATCCTTCAGTATACTGACATCCACATCTTTATAGGGGGATTCATAATAGGATTTCTGTAGCTTAGTGATTAGAGCACTCGCCTCGCAAGCGAGAGGACCTGGGTTCGATTCCCAGGCAGAATGAAGCTTTGGGCAAATATCCTTATTCCACATGCCTCTGTTTACCTAGCAGAGAATAGGAAACCAGTTGTTCGATTGATAAATCGCTTTCTGGAGTAATCATCTCCCCCAAAAATTAATTAAAATAATAATTTGGTCACAAATTGGCTGACGCATTTTGCCCACAAAATACAATCAATTCACTTTACAGTATATTTCTATGAAGCACTTTGAGATGTCTCAACAATGTGATAAGGCACTATATCAAATATAAGGAATTATTATTATTTATAAATATATAGAATCCAGCAGGTACATTATCCAGCCCAGCACCTTCTTTGGCTGCAAATCAACTTCACAGAAGCTGGGAATGAGATCAGAGTCTGTGCTGAGCTGTGATTGATACCTGAAGGATTAAGGATCCCACAAATTTACGGTTCAATGTCACTTCACGTCAATCTGATAAACTGAGGGCACAAATTCGATGGGCTGAATGGTCTCTTGTTCCTATTTTACAGATTTATAAGAAGCAGGTTTTTTTTTAACACCACATTGAACTGAATGAAAAAACTCTCCCAGATGATGAGAGAAGCTGCAGGAATGTTTGTGATGTTGAGGAGCGTTGGGGTGGGGGGTAGGAATGTGTCCCTCTGGCCTTGTAAACTACACAACTCTGCAGTCAGTACAAAAATGCTGCTGGAGCTCCAGGAGCATTGATTGGAAGCAGAGCTGCAGCGTCTGGCTCCAGGTCCCCTAGGAATCCTGTGAACTGTTTTCTCTCTGCATCTCCACAAACCCTACAAGCATGGGAACTATGTGCTCCCTTAATACCGTGCATATTCCGACCATTCCACATTCTTACTACCACCACCACACACACCCCACCCCCCACCCCTTCAGACAATCCAGAACTGAATCATTCATTTTGCTTAACAAGCTGCAGATAAACCGGATTCATGTATTGCAAATTTATTTTTCCATACATGGTTCTCAAGTTTAGAAATATCGCTGTGCTTTAAGAAAGATTGGAATTCTGAAAGGAAGTTTCTTTTTTAGTGTCATCTACTCTTTGACCTTCTGCTCCCCACACTCCCCATCATCCCACCCCCAAGAGCAATCACACGGATACCATAAGTGCAATAAAAAGTGAGGTGGGGAGGGAGGGTGCACTTTCTGTGCCTCAGCTGGTTTTAGTGTGGAACAAAGGCACGAAAAAGTGGGAAGCTCCCAGGTTCAATTCCCTGGTCTATATGAAAAAAACAATGGCCAAATTCCAGGTCATGAGGTCACCTAGTGCCCTTTCCTGCTTTGTACATGCACAGCACATAGGAAGTGATAATAACAATAATAATAATCCTTGCATTTGATATAGCGCCTTATCACGTCTTTGAGAAGTCTCAAGGCGCTTCACAGAATATACTATTAAGTGAATCGACTGTTTATTTGAGGGCAAAACACGGCAGCCAATTGCGCACAGCAGTGTCCCACAAACAGTCGTGGATTGAGTGATCAAATGATTATTATTATGATGTCAGTGCAGGGAATGTGCCAGCCAGGCACAGTGAATCCAGCTGTCGCGCCTCGTTATTATTCAAGTCATGAATTTATGGAGCCGAATCTTTGCTTCGTAACGGAGCTCCCATTGTATAAAGCACCTGATCCCCTTGAGTAGATTCCAGCCTGGGGAATCCTTTACTCCAGATATAAACCATCTGAAACTCCTTTTTTGTATTACAGTTCTGCAGCCTCTCCCAGTCGCTAATCCCTGTGATTGTCTTGCAGCTGAAGGAGCAGCGGGACAAGGAGCGGCAGCTGAAAAAAGCCAAAGCTGGTGGCATCTCGGAAGAAGTGGGGGAGTTTGATGACCTGGTTTCAGCACTCCGCTCGGGCGAGGTATTTGACAGGGATCTGTCCAAGCTGAAGCGCAGCCGCAAGCGATCTGGTAACCAGGTGGCCGAGAGTGGCAGGGAACGAGCGGTGACCAAGCTCAACTACTGAACTGGATGTGATCAGTCAGACTGGGCCAAGAACTCCTACAGCGCCATTGGACTCCAGTGACTCCTGCAGCCGGAAACTTTGCCATTCCTCACCAAGCAAGCCTCTCCTTCTCCCCCCCATCTTCTCCCTTATCTTTCACTGTGGGAAAGGAATAAAAGTGCCTGTCTGCTCTGTAGGGTTGCTGGTCAATGGTTAGGTATTCCCCCTCCACCAACCCTTCTGTTATAAGAGCAGGGAAGTGTTCCCAGGAATAGCGAATTTTGGAGATTTAGAAAGTCTCCTCTTCTTGGACTGAAAGGGATCTGCGATCATCTTCCTTTCCTTCCCGGGCTGTCCGGCTGGATTACTGAGTTGATAGAGCCCTAATATATGGACCAAGTCTCTGTTTCTCTGCACCATTCTGACTTCCCATTGGTATTTTCCACCACTCATTGGCATTGGAACGACATGTCCCAATTTGGAAAAATGGGGAGAGGGGAAAGTGAGTGAGGAGGGGAACAGGATCACAGGAAACTGTGAGACGTCCAAGGCTACAACCACTGTGGACCTTCAATGAGTCTGTCTTACACAATGCAGTATTAAACTCCAGTCACTATTTCAGAATTGATGGTACTTGCACCAATATATTCTCACAAACTTAGATAACCCGCTGCAAACTTACCGGTCCTATATTGTGCAATAATTTTTTTATATATAGCTTCTATGTTTAAAATTACCATGAGAGACAAATAGTCATTTTAAATACTTTGCAGGCAACAAACAAGAGACATAGAGTCAATTGTTTGGGGCTTGTGCTAGGAGATGCCAAGAGTTCTTCCCATCTGTGAAATCAAACCAGGTGGCTTTTGTTTTTTGGGGGCAATCGAGAAGGTGGGCGTCCTCACCGATCACAAGCACATGGGCGGCCGATAGGAAGAGACATAATTAAAGGGGATGTTGAGAACCAGTCCTGGCACAAAACACTGAATGAATGGACTTACTCCTCTCTGTCTCGCATGTAAACCTCACAAAAACGCACATAATCAAAATGGCAATGCACCTTCCTGAGGCTCGAATGCATACAAGAATGAGGTACACTTTTCTTTAAGTCTTCCACAGAAGAACTCTGTTGCCTTCTCCCACCCCCAATGACCCTACTTGATCTTAAGGAGAACAGCACTACAGCCTATAGTAGGACTTTACTTTAACGCTATATTATATATTTTTTACATTTCTAACGAGTTATATGCGCAAATGAGGTGAATGTGCTTCAGGTTTAAGATGCTGAAAGTGCAGACGACATCATCCTTCGTGCAAACCTGAAGCTTGTTTCTGTGGTTGGCTTAAGGCCAAAATTTCACTCATTTTGTCTTAATTTAAGATGGTGCAGAATTGTGGAAAATTCTTCAATTCAGTTCTAATCTGGTCAGTTCTTCTAAGAACTGCAGGAAAGCAGATTCCAAATTAAGGTTGTATTTAACAATTCTGGGCAATTTGTAAATTTTAGGGCAAAATTGTCTTCCAGGCTAGATGGTATTTAAGGTCTCTGAAGAGTAAAGAGAGCCTGAGGTTGTCCAAAAGACAAAAATAACAACAATAACTTTGTGCATTTATAGAGCACCCTTCAGGCAGGGTGGCATCTCAGAGCCCTGAACACTAATCAGCTGGCATTTCGGTCATTCAAAATCTCTACAAAGTTGACATGGGCAAGTTTCTGCTCACTCAGTGGCCTTTACAATATATGTGCACCTTTCAGGACGCAAGGTTTGGAATAAGGAGCAGTATTTCAGCATTCATCATTTTTATTGATAAGTTAGTGTTAAAAAAAAACTGTAAAATAAATATAAGAAGAGTTTCAAGCAGGATTAGTTTATCTCCTACTTTCCAAAAGTTTCTTTCTGGGTTTTTAATCTGTAAATCTAATAACCTTGAATCCTTGAAACTTGTCCATTTCCTTCTTGAAACATTTACCAGGTTGGTTCCCAACAAATAATAGATAAAGCAAACTGGAGTGATGCCCTGAAACATATAAAGCCTTCTAAAGGCTGAATACTATTAGAGTCTAACATCTACAGTATAATAGGTTCTCTAATAGTCTCATGTTGAGGCCTACAGTGTACCAGTCTGTTCAGTGGGCAGCCAAATTGAGGTACTGAGTGTATCAGGATATGTAATTGTATACACATGAGGCCTGCGTGTACCAGACTGTTTAGTAGCCCATCACAGTGAGACCTAGAGTATAATGTCACTACCATTCTCTTTCATCCTTCAGCCAGAGCTGTGTGCTAACTCCATTTGACATGTTGTTCTTAAATGTATTCAGTTACACTTTTTTTAAACCCTTTCCATTATGAAGTGGCCTCATATTCCAAGTGAACACTACCAGCATCTGTGACAGCTCCCAACCTTTACATGGGGAAACGTTACAGCTTCAGGGGGCAGTGCCCAGTGGGTCAAAGCAAGCAGCTGTCTCACATCTAGTGAACCTCAGTTTACCTAGCAGTAAGTAGGAACCCGCTTGTTAGTCGATTCTGGAGGTAATAATTCCTTCAAAAAAAATAATAAATTGGTCACTTCAATCCACGACTGTTTGTAGGACACTGCTGTATGCAATTGGCTGCCGCGTTTCACCCACAAAATACACAATCGCTATACTTTACAGTGCATCCCGTGAAGCGCTTTGACACATCTCAAAGATGTGATAAGGCACTATATCAAATGCAAGGATTATTATTATTATAGTGGTATGTACCTCAGTGCCAACTCCCTCAGTGCCCGCTCCACTAAAGTGATGCCACTTACACAGCTTGTGTCCGTGCTCTCTCCTTACATGGAGGATTTGCGCCATGGAGAAAACCCAGATGTGCAGTTCCAGAGTCTGGGCTCAGTTATATGATGGCCTCGCAGAGCTGTGTAGAGGACATGGGTTCATGTACAAATGGTAATTATGTAAGATTGGCATGGAAACACTACCAGAAGTCATACGGTGCAAGCAGTGGATGGCAAACAGAATCTCCCATAAAACCCCTGGACTCAATTGTTCAGTATATCATTCAATCCAAGCAATGGCAATGGAAATGTTTTTATGTGGGCACAATGTGCTACTGACCAATGAAACCCCAAAGCTCGGTGAGTGAGATTGGCATAGAGAAGGGAGGGAGTACAGGGCATAGTCAGAAAGTATTTGGTCAACGCACACAGCAGTAATATTGAAAGGTAAAGCCTTTATGCCTCGTTTTGTGCTGCTTACACGTATATAACTTGACAGCATAAGGGCAACAGGGAGGAGGGGGGAGTTGACGTACATATAACAGGCACAATAATCAATTAGTGATTTTTAACCCAATGAAAATAGGAACAGGAAGCGAAGGAGAGAGTTTTAAATCACATATCTGCAACTCCTCCTGATGATTCAGTTTCAGAGGGACTAGTAACCTGGATGAGATTTCTAGTTATGCTTGAGATAACAACTACTTACGTTTATGTATAGCACCTTTCACATGAAATGTCTCGAAGTGCTTTACAAAATACCATTTATTAGAAATTAAGTGAATTATTTAGATAAATGTGGCAGCTAATACACATTGGCGATGTGCGTAAACAACAATCAAATGAGAAGCCAATTCCTGTGAATTTGGATATTGATGGAATGTAGAGCAGGGTAACTGGGAGGAAAAATTCTACTTTTGTTTGAAATAATGATGAAGGGAACGTCCCCTTAACCCACACCGGGATCACAAGGCAGACAGAATCAAAATTAATGACATCTTCAAAACAGGACAATATTTCTGGAGTATATTAAATAATAAAGATATAATACACAATGCTCCAGCCAATCTGCACAAACAATGTCCCTAAACAATAAGGCTTGAATATTTTGTAGATCCCCCCCCCCGGTACTGTGGTTTACAAAGGAAAGGGGGCAAAAAAGAGGGGAGGAAAGGAGAGGGGCAGACAAGCTATGGTTTCATCAGTTTCTGACAAGAAGCTGCCTATACAGCCACAGGCCAATCCTATTGTATTAGGCTTCAAATGTGAAGTGTAAGCAGATGCCATGCTCCCATCAGTCAAATGTGTGTTTTTAAGTGCTCTGAGATGCTACCCTGCGTGGAGGGCACTAATACAAGTGCAAAAGTGCAAATTGTGTTTAAAAACTGCAAAAGATACGATAGAGTGTTTGAACATTGAGGTTTGGAGAAGAGCAGAAGGCAAGGAGGCTAGTCAGGCTAGTCAGTCCATCATTACTAACTATTACGAGATAAAACGCTGATCGTTATTTTTGGTCGATGTGAGTTAGCTTTTTGACCACCAGTGTATTGACTAGACATTTACCTTATGTGAAAGTTGTTGCTGACTTTAATGCTAAACTTTCCTGTGGGTCTCTAGCAGGTATTGGTGAGTACAAGCAGGCTGGCCCTGGATAGCAAACTAGAGCATATAAGATTATTGCTGATCGCTATTGGGAACTGCCTAGAGCTAATGGATGCCAGGATTTGTCTGCAACTCTGCTACCTATTGGTTAAGACTAGTTGGATTTCAGAACTCAGATCAATTTACTTCCACTTGATCCTCCTACATTTACATGCCTCCTGGAGTTTATAATGGGACATCCTGTTGCCCACCAACACTGCTGAGATTGGTAACTTTTTCACGAGGCAGAGAATCAGAGATGGATTTTGCATTCCCATTCCCCCCCCTCCCCACCACCACCACTCACTGCAACTGTGCAGAAACTATTTCCAGTGAAGAGGATTAACTTGGAACAACAGTAACAGCAGTACATCTGTAATGTCTGGTAACCTAGAATTTACAGCACAACACTGTAAAAGTCTGTTGTGTTGTCAGTTGTCTCTTCCATTAGTGACTTACATGGATTTTTCCAGCATTCTGCCTGTGAAAACCAGTACTATATCACTGCATTCGTCTCTCCCGTACACACACTCCCGTTCTGAGACCCTTATTCTGACACTCAACTGCAATCAGTCTCAGTATAATATGACCTTAAGCTATACAGTAATTGCCTGAAGCTTTCTTTGCAGTGGTGGTTCTGTTGGATCTATCTAGGTTAGATTATCTCCAGATTCCCAGAAGCAGCAGCGAAGTTAAATGGGATGCTTGAAAAGGAAGAATGGTAAAGGGTTTGGGAAACAAGTGGGAAAATGGGATTAGACTGGGTGGTTTTTATAGGGAAAAAATACCTCCCTCCTGACCCCCCCCCCCCCAAAAGCAAAGGAAAGGTAACATAACATATTAGGCATGCTGGCCTCCTGACTTTCATGACGTCATTATGTTAGCGAGGCCACTGTGTGTGAGGTGAGGCATGTTGGCCATTGGCC